TCCCTCTGTTGGGAGCAAAGGAAAACTTCCCTCGCGCGGAATTTGAGTTCGAGCTGGCCGGCCCGTCGACCTCAGGTCAGGAGGCTGGCTCAGCAACCGGTGCGGAGCGGGCCCAGTCAGCCGCCCAGGCGGGGTAGCGTCGCCGAGGAGATTCACCATATTGTTCCACCGCTTGCAGTTGATTCACCATATTGGATATCTAATGCCAAGGCCATTGCATGTTAATATCAGGCCCTAGTATCGGTTCAGGTATTCCTGAAATTTTACAACATATATTGTGATGCCGGAAATGAATGAGAACCAAAACATTGAAATTTGAGACTACACAAGCATATAAAATTACATGACCGGAACGATGTGTTTCATGGAGATTTGACAATTATAGACTTGACCAAAATATGATTTTAACCTCTCACAAGGAATTAGCAAAGCTAATTTCCATCCTTCTCTATGATAGTTCTGAGTTCTTTATGAAAAAGTTTTAGGACGCCCTCTCCCACTTTTTATTTGTTTATTTATTTTTGGATTAGACTACTTGGAACATTTGGAGAGGAACTGGGAATTGAAATCAACATACCAAAAACTTACAGCAGTATGGTGAGATCAGGCTAACAATCTGCCAATATAAGTTTAATACACTAGTTCTATCCAACTACAAGTTTTGCTGCAAAAGATTTATATCTATAGGCCTCCAAAATGGAAGACCAGATTAAATGGAGACAATATATTGAAAATGGAGACATGCTCTAATTAGCTAAAAGCTATATGCTCAGTTTTGTCCTGCAATCTTTTGGGTCACTTCCAACTAATTTGCTAGCAAATGAGGTCAAGCCAGAAAAGTCAGCTTGAATTTAACGTATGTTGCAAAGGTAAGAAGCTACCCATTACACTATTTTAACTTGAAGTTCTTATCTATCTAATTGGGAAAAATTTTGGTGTAACCAAAAATGCCATGCAATATGCATCATCAACATCTAAAACAGGCAAACAAAAAGTGCGCAGATATGCTTACAATAGCATTATAGTCTTCGACTACACAGACTCCCTTCTCATCATACTCTCGCCTTTTGACAGGATCACTTAAAACTGTTAAAATAATGCATTTTGTTCAGAAACAGTGATCAGGCGTAATAATGATAAAAATTGTAATGAAGAGAGTGAGATCAATGCTTAGCAGAATGCATTCTGTCCTCAGAATTTTAAATGGGCCAGATAATTAGATAGCATCTCTTTGCTAGTTGATCATTCATCAACCTATACTCGATTATTAGCAATTAGTGCAAACGAGATGATTCTTGAGATAAATAACTCCAGTACAAAGAATCGATCTCATGCATGATAGGGAAACTCTGAAAATCATTCAACATGACAAACTGATTGACGAGGCACAATATGTGCGGAGTGTCTATAAGTTAATGCATACTTCATTACCGCCAACAAAGAGAATTTTTTGCATACTTCATGAGTCAACGAAGAGAATTTATTGACTACTTCATCACAGTCAACAAAAAGAAGCAATAGTCACTTATTACATAAAAAAGTAAAAGGGAGTTGATAGCTAAGATTAATTGTGAAACTTAGCTAATAAAATTACAACTACTTAATGCAAATAAATCTGAAAGATGCACAAGAGATGAAGGATGCCATCATTGAACCACAGAAACATTTATTTCCAGATTGAGAATGAATTAGCATTATTTAAATATGATAATAAATGTCATTACTTGAAGGTGTTAGCTAGTTTAGCTAGTAAAGACTTCGACAATTTATTGCAATGTCCTAGATTTATATCCCACCTTTGCCACTTATCCTTTGCCAAAAAAGAAAAAAAAATCATTATTTAAAAGATCTTTAAGATAATACATCGAGAAGAAGTATGTGCTTATAATCTTAGAAAAGTTTCTATTGGTCAGCCCTTACGTCACTAGATCGGGGCACATTTGTCATGTTTATGAATTTTTAT